TTTTGTATTGTACCCAAGATAACTGCAATTTGTCTTTTACTTTGTGGTAATGTTTGGAGTAAGGTGGCATTTACGTCAACGTTTACATTTTGCTAGGTGTTCTTTTGCAAGTACAATGATCCGATTTATGTGAAGATGGAAAAGTTGGAAATCATGATTAAGCTTGCTTCTGATCGGAATATCGACCAGGTACCTCAAACCAAAGAAGAGTTCATATGGAACTTCTGCATTTCCTTTTTCTTCTACTTTTACCTTTTCAATAAATAGATACTTATATCGAACATGATTTTAGGTTTTACTGGAGTTCAAAGAATATGCGACGGAAGTTGATGTTGATTTTGTTAGAAAGGCTGTTCGTGCCATAGGGCGTTGTGCCATCAAATTAGAGAGAGCTGCTGAACGGTGCATTAGCGTTCTCCTGGAACTGATAAAGATCAAAGTAAACTACGTGGTTCAAGAGGCTATCATAGTTATCAAAGACATCTTTAGAAGATACCCTAACACGTAAGTTATGTTCCTTTTTGTACACTTATTACATTAATAGCTATAACTTGCTTTTTATTCTTAAAAAAAATAGCTAAAACTTGCTTTTGGTTTATTAACCTTTGCAGCTATGAATCCATCATTGCAACACTTTGTGAGAGTTTGGACACTTTAGACGAGCCAGAAGCTAAGGTATTGGGGTTGTTCTCTAGTTTTATCACATCATGAGGATTGCAATTACACTTTGGAATTTGTTTTTGACTGAACCCATTTTTCGCATAACCATTGCTTCTTTTCTGCTGCAAGGCATCAATGATATGGATAATTGGTGAATATGCGGAAAGAATCGACAATGCTGATGAGCTTCTTGAAAGCTTCTTGGAGAGTTTCCCAGAAGAGCCTGCACAAGTCCAGTTGCAACTGCTGACAGCAACTGTTAAACTATTTCTAAAGAAGCCGACAGAAGGTCCACAGCAAATGATTCAGGCATGGCCTTTTCAATCCTGAGGCACATATTTTGATAATTATGTAGTCAGGCTTTTGCTCCGCCCAAGAACTGTGTTCTCGCTTTTGGAGGAATTCTTATGTTCAGAAATTTTGATTAATTCTCACTACATGGATTCATGTTTACAGGTTGTCTTGAATAATGCTACTGTGGAGACAGACAATCCTGATCTACGGGATCGTGCATACATATATTGGCGTCTCCTCTCTACTGATCCCGAGGTGCGATTGTTTCCATTTTTGTCCCTTTATTCCAATCAGTAGGCCTCCTTTCTATTTTGGGATACAAATTAATTTTTATTTTCTTAAAGGACATTATAGACCGATTCTTCCAAAGTCCTGTTTGTTCCATATTGGAGATACCTTTCCATGTAAACTACTATAAGAAGACCACATTGTCATAAATTCCATTTAGCAATACCTACGCAAATCCTAGTTAAGCCTTTTGTTTGCGTTAGAGTCTTTTCCGTGGTCTTGGGCAGTACAGATCCATGAAAGGAAGGGGTTTAAAATAGATAAAAGTTGATCTTGAACTTTTGGTATTTTTGTGCATATATGCATGACCTCTGTATTTAGAAACAGATGCTTTAGGAAATAGAAAGGCTAGCTTTACATGTAATATGTGCCTACCTTTCTATTTCAGGCAGCAAAAGATGTCGTGTTAGCTGAGAAACCTGTGATTAGTGATGATTCAAACCAGCTTGATCCATCTCTGCTTGATGAACTACTTGCTAATGTTGCTACATTGTCCTCCGTATATCACAAACCACCAGATGCTTTTGTAACTCGCGTGAAGACTGCTACTCAGAAAACTGAAGACGAAGACTATGCTGAAGGGAGTGAACAAGGATATTCTGATGCTCAAGCTGCCGATGGAGGTGTCTCACCTCCAACGAGTTCTAATAATGTTCCATATGCTGGAGCACGACAGCCAGCGCCTGCTCCTGCTCCTGTCCCTGTGCCTGATTTATTAGGTGATCTAATGGGTTTAGACAATAGTGCTATTGTCCCTCTTGATCAGCCTGCCCCACCTTCTGTGTGAGTATGATAGAATGTGAAAAGATGTTGTCTGTCTAATTGATATTTCTTTTATGGAGCAATTTGGCTACAAGAATAATTGATTGTCTATAATAAATTTATTATGAAGTCATTTCAGTGGTAATCTGATATAAAATTATCAAGAGGTTCTTATAATATGTAAATGTCCAGTAGATAGATGTAGCAAGACATGCATGGCTTACTGGATTTGTTGACCTTGATTGCAGCCGTCCTTTGCCTATTCTACTACCAGCATCAACTGGTCAGGGTCTGCAAATTAGTGCTCAGTTGATGAAACAGGATGGTCAAATATTTTACAGCTTACTTTTCGAGAACAACTCACAGATTTTGCTTGATGGCTTCATGATTCAGTTCAACAAGAATTCATTTGGTCTTGCAGCTTCTGCACCTCTGCAGTAGTTACTATTGGCATGGTTGTTGAATTAGATCTATTTTAATGGTATTGGGTTTGTAACTAAATCTTCTGTTCTGCATTTGGTCCCACCATTGCAACCCGGAACATCCGCAAGGACAATGCTGCCTATGGTATTGTTGCAGAATATGTCTGCTGGTCCTCCCAGCTCGCTTTTGCAAGTTGCTGTTAAAAACAATCAGCAGCCAGTCTGG